GGTTAACCTCCATACTGGAAATTAACTTCGCAAAAAACGCACAAAAGTCGCAAACTACCAACGAGCTTGCAACCAAACAGTCTGCTACAAAGAACAGACTCTGACAATAGGAGCACGTTGGCTGCTTTTATAGGCTGGCATGTCTGTGATGTCATAGCTATTGATGCCTCAGCCCATCAATAGCTATGATGTCATAAGCTAGTGATGCCCCGCCCACTATTCCCAGAGCCAGCCAGCCATACCATATATGGTCAATGAAGATCACTGACAATGAGGTTGCAGTCACTGCCTAGGGATCGGGTAAGGCCTTGTTCACACCAAATGCAGACCAGATTCGGTCTGGTTGCTGCACACGCAGTGTAGTGGGTTGTGCCGTGTTTTTGATGCGTTTTTGATGCGTTTTTGATGTGTTTAGGGCCGGTTTTGGTTAAAACATTTTTTAAAGTTTAACATGGGCTTTCAGGCACTTGCATGCGTTTTTGATGCGTTTTTGCGCTTTAGATGCGTTTTTGATGCGTTCCAGACCAGATCCAGAGCAGGTAAAATAGGGCTTGCCGCATTTTTTTTCATCTGGTCTGGATCCGCACGCTGCGATGTGAATTTTTTTTTTTATAGCGGGGCCCATCCCGGCACTTGCCAAGGGTAACTGTGAGCAGGGCCGGCCTTAGGCCTTTAGGCGCCCTGTGCGAGAAAGCTTTACAGCGCCCCTCAGTGGCCACACCCTTTAGTGGCCACACCCCCGTAACCACACCCATTTTCCCCCAATATCCGCACCAATTAAAGACTCCTATTTTGTTAAGCCGCAAAGAAACATAATAAAAAGTATGATAAAAATAAAACTTTTATTCCAAGGTATTATAGGCACAATATAAGTATTCCATCCTGACAGCAGGCAGCGCTCCCTCCTGCACCCCCCGCCGGGCGGACGAGGGATCACTGTCATATCGGATGGCAAGTGGTGAGGGGGAGAGAAGCCGCCCCCAGGAGGAGCTGTGTCGGCCGCACGGCGCCCTTGTTGCCGGCCGCACAGCTCGCACAACCCTAAGGCCGGCCCTGCTCAAAGCACAATACAGATATCCCCAGAGCACAATACAGATGTCCCCAGAGCACAATACAGATGTCCCCAGAGCACAATACAGATGTCCCCAGAGCACAATACAGATGTCCCCAGAGCACAATACAGATGTCCCCAGAGCACAATAGATCAGATGTCCCCAGAGCACAATAGATCAGATGTCCCCAGAGCACAATAGATCAGATGTCCCCAGAGCACAATAGATCAGATGTCCCCAGAGCACAATAGATCAGATGTCCCCAGAGCACAATAGATCAGATGTCCCCAGAGCACAATAGATCAGATGTCCCCAGAGCACAATAGATCAGATGTCCCCAGAGCACAATAGATCAGATGTCCCCAGAGCACAATAGATCAGATGTCCCCAGAGCACAATAGATCAGATGTCCCCAGAGCACAATAGATCAGATGTCCCCAGAGCACAATAGATCAGATGTCCCCAGAGCACAATAGATCAGATGTCCCCAGAGCACAATAGATCAGATGTCCCCAGAGCACAATAGATCAGATGTTCCCAGAGCAGAAGGCTGCGATCTCACCTGGGCTGCATGTGGATCTCTGCAGGATTCTTGAGTTGATCGTACGGGTGCCAGTGTCCGGGGCTGTGCTGTGTGTGGTGCTGTCCATGGCTGTGCCTGTTCCGGGAAGAAGGGGCAGGAGGTATAGAACCGGACAGGCACTGCCAGGGACAGCTACTGCCAGGTCCCCAGCAGGCTGCCGAGGTGCCGACAGGCGCTGGAACTTAGCAGCCGCTGCGGTTTAAAAATTTAAAGGGCCGGTATCAGCCTTAATAATCGGGGCATTTTCACGAGTACTTGCCGGGTATCGGCCCGATACTGATACTAGTATCGGTATTTGGACATCCCTACCAAGATCTAAATAAATCATTTTATAGAAACATTTTAGATTGCAGGTTGATCATGGTGCCTGTCTTTATTCCTCAGAGTGAGTCCCTGGTTGTATGTGAAGTGGATGAGCAACTGGTGGAGAAGCTGAAAAAGTTTCGTTTCCGCAAGGAGACCAACAATGCCGCCATCATCAGTGAGTGAAGTCCAATAACATAACCTGTATGTTGGTATTGAAATGTATGTTTTGGTCAGTGAGTCTGCTTAGAAGGCCGCCATTGTTCTGTGATAAATATCATAGGATCTCTGTACTGTTAGGCGGAGGAGTGTTATAAACATTTTGTTACATCACCAGCCCCAAGCCGGGGCTTCCGGGCCAAAGGTGGCCTTAGGCATTAGCTGATCCTTGCTAGTGCTGGTGAAGTTGGTCGGATCTGGCAAGTGATGTCCTGTAAGGTCTATGTAGAGGCAAAATAAGAAATGACCTCTATGATTCAGGCTGTCACTACATTACCACAGCAGTGCTACGTAGTTTAATTATCTGCTGATCTGGCTAGTAGATCCGTTATGTTTCCAGGCTGTCAAGAGTCAGGTAGCGTCGGGGAAGTCCCTGTCTCAGCTGCTAAATCATCAAAGCAGCTGTCAGTCAACCAACATGCGGCATTGACTGCAGCGGATTGGATGAAAGCACAGGGTGACAACCGTCCTGCAGATTTCAGAGATGGTGGTCACCCTCGGAGAGAGAGAGAGCAGGAACCGGCAAGATCAACAGGTCTTTATGAAACATTTACCCACAGCAATATAAAAAAAACTCCACCACTACAATTACAAAGCAAAAACAAAGCTTTCTGCACAAACTGGGTTTACATGTACTTTAATATATATAAAGAGAAGGGAAACAACCATGGATTACAGTAAGGCGCACATTACAGTATTGGTTTATGTTAAAAAATCTGAGGGTTTAATGTCACTTTAAATAACAAAACAATATTCCCCTTCAGTCCAGAGATTTCCCCCGCAGTACAGTTTCCTGCCATTGGATGTCCTCAGTCTGATGGCCGGCATCATTCAATCCATTTCCTCTGGGTTCAGGTCATCCGGGCACCCCCACAGCCTGTGACTGGACAGTGAAAGGAGAAACAGCACTGTGATGAGCTCATCTGTCTGTCATGCTGCTCTCTCGTCCTATCAGCACGCTTCTTGTCAGCACATGAACAGATTGGCTCCTTGCGCTGCTTCTTCCTTTCACACTCCAGCCCTGCTGTACAGGGAATGCAAGAGGCTGATACCAGGTCACATTCAGGTACTTACACTACTTGTATCAAAAAATAAATGCAATTTTGTGTTTATGAATACAGAGCCGCATTGATATGTGTCTTTTATATCTGCCTGGAGTTCAGCTTTACCTGCTGTCTGCGGTTATTTCCTGATTTGTGTCTTTTGATTCTTCTGCAGTGAAAATAGACAAAGACAGACGCCTTGTGGTGCTGGAAGAGGAGCATGAGGTCAGTCCCATCATTGATCAGTTCCAATCACTGTGTATTTCAGCCCCCCACTGTGGGGGGTTTGGATATTTCACCACCTCTGAAACGCCCAAAAGCCACCTTTGTACAACTCGTCTCCATTGCCCTCCTCGTCTCCTGTTGCCCTCCTCGTCTCCATTGCCCTCCTCGTCTCCCGTTGTCCCTCCTCGTCTCCATTGCCCTCCTCGTCTCCAGTTGCCCCTCCTCGTCTCCCGTTGCCCCTCCTCGTCTCCCTCCTCGTCTCCCTCCTCGTCTCCCGTTGGCCCTCCTCGTCTCCTGTTGCCCCTCCTTGTCTCCATCCTCGTCTCCCGTTGCCCCTCCTTGTCTCCCTCCTCGTCTCCGGTTGTCCCTCCTCGTCTTCCTCCTCGTCTCCGGTTGTCCCTCCTCGTCTTCCTCCTCGTCTCCGGTTGTCCCTCCTTGTCTCCCTCCTCGTCTCCGGTTGTCCCTCCTCGTCTCCTTACACCTCTACGTATTCACATTACACACTGAAAGGTAAATCCATTGCGTTACACTCTATGGAGGTTTTTTTTACCGTAAAGCAAAATGGTTGTTCACTTTGCAGGGGATTTGCACTTTGCAGGGGAACTTGCCACGTAGTTAAGTGTTCAAGGTGAAGCGATACTGACGTCCATCATCCAATTATGCGCTGGCATGTACTATTTTCCTTGCAAAGTGAAATTTCATCACGATCACTAAGCTAGAGGGAAACCTCCCCTGCAAAGTGGAAGTGGAAATCCCCTTGCAAAGTGACCAGCCTATTTACCTTTTAGTAAATCAAGCCCTATAAGCGCATTGAGTGCCACTTATAATAAATGTCAGTACGCATATACCACGCGTTGTGTTAATGCACATCATAGCGTGAAAGTGCATATAGGTGTGAAAGGGCCCTTATAGGTTAGCTGATTCAGACTTGCATTGTGGGAAGGAGCAGTAAAGCACAGCCATTGTGTAGCGCTATGAAGGAGGAGGCAGAATCTGTGTGTTGAGTAATTATGGCTGCCCTCATGCACATATATAATTACAACGTGCGAGATCTTCTAAAATATACACGCGGTGAGATATTTTTATATCAAGCTTTTCCTCATATATAGTATATCTCTAAAAAGAGTAATCATCTCTCTAATCTTCTGTTGAGGACGGGTCTCAAGAGAAAGCTCTGCGCCTGCCGCTTACGACTTGGCACCAACGCTCTTTTAAAACCAGTTTGTGGTGTTTGTCAGCAGACCGTCCTGCAAGCCTAAAGAATACAGATTAGGAATGTGCTCCATGGGGTCTACAAGACGTGGCTTGGTTCCTGGGTGTGTTGAGCTCTGCCCGAGGAATATGTTACATCGGTATTAGGCCTGGTTCACACCTGGGCGTTTTACAGCGTGTTCCTACGCGCTATAAAACGCTCAACATGTGAAAACCAACGATTGCCTATGGGCATGGTTCCCACCTTGGCGTTTTACAGGACGTAGGAACGCGCTGTAAAACGCCCTACGCCCAAAATACAGGAGCTTCTTTGGGGCGTATTTGTCGCGCGTATCCTTTGGGATACAGCCAGGTAGCCCTCGGAAACGCGCGTTTTTTTAAACTGCAAATCGCTGTAAAAATGCGCGGCAAACGCGCATATTCCTTACGCCTAGGTGTGAACCGAGCCTTATTGATGGGTTGCAGAGTGCGTGGTATTCGGTAGGACTGCGTGCCTCCTGTGCAGCTGAGACACACAGAGCTGTGATTAAATTATCCCAACCCTTTACCCAATCCCCGGGGCCAATCCAGCTCTGCAATTACTGCACCCAGGGGCCTGCCTTGCTAATTGCTGCTGTTTTTCTCTTTTCTCCGAGCAGGGGATCTCTCCAGATGAGCTGAAAGATGAACTGCCAGAAAGACAGCCCAGATATCCTTTTATCCGGTGATCTGCGGTTGACGTTTAAATCAAGGCACGGTTGCTGCCTTCAGCCTGTCCCCTCCCAGCTTCCATTCCTTGTTATTGGTTGATGAGCCATCCGTCATGGCGATGGGCCGGTGTTGAGGAATGGGAGGGTTGTGGGCCACAGCCAGTGGCCACAGGAGTTGGTGACTATGTATTCATCAGATTGCCAGTTTGTGTCTTCCACAATGAGATGTTCCCACATTAGATTGTGTCTCTGTCCATCCTACCACAGTGAGATATTCCCATAGTAGAATGTGTCTTGGCCCAGCCCACCACAATGAGATGTTCCCGCAATAGTTTGTGTCTCAGCCCCTCCCACAAAGCTATAATGAAAGTGTCGCTCTCCTACAACTCCCTTCTGATTTGTTTATTCCACAATATGGGGGACATGACCTCACCCATCTAATTTTGTAATGGCCACAGCGGAGGGATAGTTGTAGGCATTCTAGTGAGGATATGGCACTAATGGAGTCCTCTTGGATCCAATACGTCTGCATGTAATTTAAAGTGAACCTGTCGTTACAAAATATTACAGTTTGTAGAAGTAAGGACTTTACAGAATTCCATTGCAACCATCACAGGGGATTTTGGTTTGGCCATACGGTCAATGCAGACACATGGTATGCTGGGCCCATGGGGTATATTCTGTAGAAGACCGCTAGGAAGGTGTAAGGTACTGCAGAGTCCACATTTGGTATCTTTGTTGTTTTGTTCATGTGTGCCATATTGCAGACAGTATGCTTTCCTTAATCTTGTCTTACATTCATAGTGTACAGTTATAAATACCAGCATGACGACGGAAGGGTCTCGTACCCTTTGTGTTTCATCTTTTCCAGCCCAGTAGGTAAGTGTAAAGCCGGCCATGCACCTAGAGATTATCTGCAGGTTTTCTAGGGTCAGATGGAAAAGGTGCAACAGATTCCTCCATCTACGCTAAACTGTGTGGATGGAGGAATCTCCCGATTGGATGCAGACATTGCTCGGGCGTTTTAAGAGCCAGAGAGGCCGACTAGCAAGATACTGAAGCTTGGCCCAGCGGGAGATTCCTCCATCCACACAGTTTGGCGTAGATGGAGGAATCTGTTGCACCTTTTCCATCTGACCATAGAAAGTCTGCAGATCATCTATAAGTGTATGGGCAGATTAAGAACTGTTTGGTAACTGCTTGTTAGCGATTGGGTCTTTGTACGGGATCAGCATTATAACCCAAGGTTTGAGAAAATTCTAAGGCAATGTTCCAACCTGTTGATCTGGCACGTGAGGACTTGTAGCTCCGCGATAGCCAGATGATTACTGTCTGCCCACACTCGTGTAGAATATTAATGAACATGTAATGATCTATACTGTGTGATTTCCTCATTTGTTTTTTGAACTTCCGGTCTCTTTCAGTAACGCATGGTTCAGAGCGGTGGTAGGTAGTATCCAAAGCAGCCAGTCGGGAATAAACATTCATTGGTGCACTCATTGGAAGCTGCTAAATTGTGGTTGGTTGCTAGGAATCAAGTGCACATTTCTCTTTGTCCTCCATAATATTAATTAAAGCAAAATCTTGGATGGTGGGAACCCCTCTTAATGGGCACTCCAATTGTTCAGACCCGGGAACTCAGCTCAGGTGTGGTGGAAGCCCCTCATAATGGGCCCAATAGGCGTACAGACTCAGGAACTCAGTGTTGGGATGATGGGAACCTCTCATAATGGGCACAGCAGGTGTACAGACCTGGGAACTCAGCTCAGGCATGGCGGAAGCGCCTCATAATGGGCCCATTAGGTGTACAGACTCAGGAACTCAGTGTTGGGATGATGGGAGCCTCTCATAATGGGCACAGCAGGTGTACAGACAAAGGAACTCTGTGTTGGGATGGTGGGAACCCCTCATAATGGTCACAGCAGATGTCCAGAGCCGGGAACTCAGCTCAGGGATGGTGAGAATCATTCCTAATGTACCCAATAGATGTGCAGACTCAGGAACTCAGTGTTGAGATAATGGGAACCCCTCATAATGGGCACAGCAGGTGTACAGACAAAGGAACTCTGTGTTGGGATGGTGGGAACCCCTCATAATGGTCACAGCAGATGTCCAGAGCCGGGAACTCAGCTCAGGGATGGTGAGAATCATTCCTAATGTACCCAATAGATGTGCAGACTCAGGAACTCAGTGTTGAGATAATGGGAACCCCTCATAATGGGCACAGCAGGTGTACAGACAAAGGAACTCTGTGTTGGGATGGTGGGAACCCCTCATAATGGTCACAGCAGATGTCCAGAGCCGGGAACTCAGCTCAGGGATGGTGAGAATCATTCCTAATGTACCCAATAGATGTGCAGACTCAGGAACTCAGTGTTGAGATAATGGGAACCCCTCATAATGGGCACAGCAGGTGTACAGACAAAGGAACTCTGTGTTGGGATGGTGGGAACCCCTCATAATGGTCACAGCAGATGTCCAGAGCCGGGAACTCAGCTCAGGGATGGTGAGAATCATTCCTAATGTACCCAATAGATGTGCAGACTCAGGAACTCAGTGTTGAGATAATGGGAACCCCTCATAATGGGCACAGCAGGTGTACAGACAAAGGAACTCTGTGTTGGGATGGTGGGAACCCCTCATAATGGTCACAGCAGATGTCCAGAGCCGGGAACTCAGCTCAGGGATGGTGAGAATCATTCCTAATGTACCCAATAGATGTGCAGACTCAGGAACTCAGTGTTGAGATAATGGGAACCCCTCATAATGGGCACAGCAGGTGTACAGACAAAGGAACTCTGTGTTGGGATGGTGGGAACCCCTCATAATGGTCACAGCAGATGTCCAGAGCCGGGAACTCAGCTCAGGGATGGTGAGAATCATTCCTAATGTACCCAATAGATGTGCAGACTCAGGAACTCAGTGTTGAGATAATGGGAACCCCTCATAATGGGCACAGCAGGTGTACAGACCTGGGAACTTAGCACAGGGATGTTGAGAGCCCCTCATAATGGGCACAGAATGTGTGCAGAGCGATTCACTTAGTTCAGAGATCTCACCAATAGAGTCTCCTTTTTGATTGGATTGACCCTTCAAATAAGCCCTTTGGTGTTAAGGTTCCTCTAATGAGTAATATTCTCCTCTTACGTACTGACTGGACATTCATTTTTTCCAACTCTAGGCTGCAAGCCGGAACAGCAGATGATGTACGCCGGCAGCAAAAACAAGCTTGTTCAGGAAGCTGAACTCACAAAGGTAATCGTCTGTTTTTTTTATTTTCTTCATGTTGCAGTCTAGCAGGACCGCATTAGGTGTAAGATAATTTACCAAAAAAATGGTTGGTTCCGCTGTGTAGCATTGTATCCTACGCTGGGAGACACAGTGGGGGAACTTTGGTGCGTGGGTAGTGGGTCTTTTTTTTAAAATAGGGAAGGGCTTTACGGTTCATTTTTTAACCTTTTTTTTTCTTTTCTGTCACAGTTGTAGACGCGGTAATTATTCTTGTTGGCCTTTATCTCTTGTAGGTATTTGAGATCCGAAACACCGAGGACCTAACCGAAGAATGGCTGATCGAGAAGCTGGGTTTTTTCCACTAAACTCTTTATTTTTCTTTGTTAAAAGAGCCCAATGTATTCCCTTTGTACTTCTTAATTCACCATTTAGACAAGATGTCCGCCCACTTGCAGAGTATCTGTGCAGCAAACACGTGCTGAGTTCCTTAAAATAAACCAACGGCTTAACTCTTTCCCAGGCAGCCCCAGCCTGCGAGGCCGCTCGGGGTTGAAGATGAGGGAAAAAGGGCAGGGATGGGCAATCTAAGGGGCCACCCTGACCTGGGGAAGGGACTACAAGGGTCAGCAGGCCTTACCAGTTGGTAGAGCCAGCTGCGGCTTGTAGTTCCTTTATCGCCTGAAGGCTGGATATTGCCCTTGTAATCCTGGTCACACTGGAGCTTGACATTTATGTTTTGGATTTCCTACCACAATCTACCTTTTGCATACATACTTTATGAACATTTTTTTATGGTGCAGCCGGCATACCTGTGCTGTAGCTCGGTGGTGCTGAGTTCCTGGTTCTCAAGGCCCACAGTGTTTGCTTTCCTCACTATCAACTTAGGGTGAAAGCTGAAATCCAGACAGCTTACAAAAAAAAGGATCTAATGCTCCTTTTAATTTCGGGGCTTGTGATAAAAAAGTGATCCCTTATTCCTTGGCCCTGCTTCCTTTACATTGGTTCCGCTATTCACGACTGGTCCCACAAAGCCTGGTCATGTGACCGCCCCTTTGCCAGCGTAATCGCATACAGTGCAGGACTAGCTGCCATAGCTGGTCTAGCATTGTATGTAATGTTATCACGGGCCCTACTTCATTCCAGGTCCAGAGAAAAGAAGAGCATTGTCTACTGCTGGACTCCCCCCTCCTCCCTTTTCTTCCAGTGCCCTTGACTAAAGCTGGCCATACATGCCTAGAATGACCAGACATGCCTTGATCTAAACGAGAGAAGTCTGGCAATTCCCCGATCCATGCATAAACGGCATGGATGGAAGAATCCCCGCTGCCAGTTGTATTCAGCTGCCGCTGCTCTAGCCTCCGCTGACTACCCGAACAGCTCCGGCATGTGACTGGGTGCGGGCACTGTTTGACCGACAATTTCCGGACTGACTTCTTTGATAAAAGTCGATTAAAAAATTGCTTTTGTCTAGCATGGGGCTGCTGACTGGGCCACCCCCAGCTTAAAATTCAAGCAGTGTATGACCAGCTTAAATGACTATTAGATCCGTAATGCGCAGGTGGAGGGCACTCGCATATTTTTGTAAGCTGACCGGACTTCAGCCTAAAATAAGGACCATTATTGCAGAAAATGTTTGCATTCCAATGTACGCAGTAAATACATGTTTTGCTTCGGTATGTAAACTCTTTTTTTTTTTTTTTTATTCTTTTATGACCAATTTTTTATTTAGCTGATTATTTTGTGTCACTTCCACCAGGGTCTCCATCAGCATTTGATTGGACATCATTAAATGACCCAAGGCAGTCTGCCACCCACAGATCCATCAGTTTCATCAGTTCTGAATGACCAAATGATTGACATTACATGGAAAATGAGGCCTAAACCACCCCACGGCCAGAAGCAGGTGACTGGAAAACTGCATACCCCTTAATTGGCCAAGCATGTGCCGCTAAGTATGATGAGGATGAGGACCAGTGGTTATTAGCCTCATCATACTTAGTGGCAGAGGACTGAAATCATTTGCTTACCCAGTCCTCAAGCTGTTGACATTAGTTCTGTGAACTTTGGCAATGTAAAGACAATGCAAAGGGCAACCTGTGACCCTTTCCAATGGCATGGGCAACCTGTGACCCTTTCCAATGGCATGGGCAACCTGTGACCCTTTCCAGTGGCGAGGGCAACCTGTGACCCTTTCCAGTGGCATGGGCAACCTGTGACCCTTTCCAATGGCATGGGCAACCTGTGACCCTTTCCAATGGCATGGGCAACCTGTGACCCTTTCCAATGGCATGGGCAACCTGTGACCCTTTCCAATGGCATGGGCAACCTGTGACCCTTTCCAATGGCATGGGCAACCTGTGACCCTTTCCAATGGCATGGGCAACCTGTGACCCTTTCCAATGGCATGGGCAACCTGTGACCCTTTCCAATGGCATGGGCAACCTGTGACCCTTTCCAATGGCATGGGCAACCTGTGACCCTTTCCAATGGCATGGGCAACCTGTGACCCTTTCCAATGGCATGGGCAACCTGTGACCCTTTCCAATGGCATGGGCAACCTGTGACCCTTTCCAATGGCATGGGCAACCTGTGACCCTTTCCAATGGCATGGGCAACCTGTGACCCTTTCCAACGGCATGGATAACCTGTGACCATTTCCAACGGCATGGATAACCTGTACCCCTCTCCAGTGGCGAGGGCAACGTGTAACCTTTTCCAAGAGATTTTTTTTCTATCTGTGAAGGGCAGAAGGTGGCGGGATTCGGATGATTACTTGCTTTTGTAAATGTTTAATTGCTGCTGGCCATACACATGTATTTGTATTTGGCTGGGAGCATGCTCACACAGCGCCTCAGCATTGTGACTGCGCTCACTCAGCGCCTCAGCATTGTGATTGCGCTCACTCAGCGCCTCAGCATTGTGACTGCACGCCCTCACTGTATCAGCACTGTGAGCGTGCTGTCTAGGGTTGCCACCTTTTCTTCAAGCCAAACCCGAACACTGTAGCACCTCGCGGCAATTTTTTTGTAAAGTATACACGACGCATGTATTTGGAGTTAATCACAACTTGCCAGTGTGCCGCAGGTCCCCAGATATATACTATATAAAGCAATATCCATATATCGCCGTCCGCCGCCGCTCACAGTCGCCGTCCGCCGCGGCGCCGCCACTCACAGCCAGCTGTCAGGTGAGCAAGTCTGCGGCTTGAATCCTGTGCCCGGGTCTGCCAAAGGAGTGTACCCGGGCACAGGATTCCAAAACCGGACTGTCCGGGTCATTCCCGTACGTGTGGCAACCCTAGTGCTGTCACTGACAGCTTCTGGTCACTATTTAGGTTTCGGAGTCAGTAAGACAAGCTCCCAATCACATGATCACTTTGGCAGCCAATCCTGGGGTACCCAGGAAATTCCTACGCTGTTCATAACCCCTTAAAGGGCCAGCAGTAAGAGGTAGCTAAAAAAATGCAATTAAAAATAACTTGATAAATAGCATGTACAGTGCCAGATGGAAAAAAAAAAATCAAGTGACTTGCACCCCAACTTTAAGCGTTTGGTTGGTCAGAACAGGAAATGATTAAAACTGCAGGTTGCAGTGGGACGTTCAATCCCCAGCAGAGATGTTTTTGATCAAAAGCTGATGGAAACCAGGACGGAATTGCCATGTGTGTGGCCGGCAGAGAACAAAGCTGCAAATGAAGTGAATGAAACCTGTTGGGGAGCCTTGGGGGGTGTATTTGAGCACCATTGCTGTATCTGTGACCCTTGTGTTAGGATGATGGTCAAAACGTGACACAATCAATCTCCACATTGATCATGCTGCTCGGGAACGTGCGTGGAATGTAACATGTTGTCAGACTTTTCTGCCATTTACTTGAAACGCACCTCCACCACACTACATACCCATAAGGTGAAAGCATCTTTCAGGTCACCTTCCTGTCATTGGACAGCTGTGATGATGCTGATTCATCATCCAATGAGCATGCTGGAAGAGGGGAGCTGAAAAGATCGTCAAGGAATGAATGATGTTACCTTGTTGTGCAGGGGAGTGTTGATCCAAAGACTAGCTGATCAGAGTTGCAAGGTTCTTTGGCAAAGATAATTGTTGACATTTTATGTATTGCAGACATGTGTCTATCCGTTTTGCATGGAGTTGCCCCTTCACACTTGTGCATGCACTAATACACTTCTTGTGTGCTGCGTGCTTTTTTTTTAAAATTATAACGGGACAGAACCTTGGGGGCAAATGCTATTTTTGCATGGCAGACCTTTCAGTGAATGCCCCGCCCACGAGGAGTTTCCAAGCCTTTGTTGACGCAAGACAGTGCTATTTGGACCTGTTGGTGCTCATCGTCCCAGGTCTGGTGGTATTCCTGTGCCTGCATTAGGTTCTGAGCTGAAGGGCCCGGCACCGTCCAATCTGTTGGCACTTCTCTGCAAATTCCTACGCGCATCTGAACTGAGCAACTATCGTAATTCCAAAACTTTTTTTAGATGAATATTTTCTGTGAAAAGCACCTGCTGCTTATGGGGTCCTCGTGATACTAACATTCACACGTGTGAAAAAAAATTCAACTAAAAAGAACATGTTATGGCTGAGCAGCCCTCAGTATTAGGCTTACTTCCTGTGTCAGTCCTGATGATGCAATGAGAGAAGTTGGCACAGACACAACACAGCTCACTCTGTGACCAATTAAAAGCCAACTTTAGGATTTTTTGCACCACCCTCCACTGGTTTTTTACCCCGCGCTGCGTGCACGGCCGTATCGGGCAGCTCCTAGGAAGGACAGGTGCTGCGTGTGATTAATACGCAGCCCCCGTCCTTCTCTATAGGAATACACGGCCATACGCCCCCCTACGCTCACCTCAAGTGTATGTCCGTAGGGGTGCGTGTTTCACCTGCACCGGTCCGGACCTCCACTTCAGGTGAGCGTAGGGGGGCGTACAGCCGCGTATTCCCATAGAGAAGGACAGGGGCTGTGTACTAATCACACGCAGCACCCGTCCTTCCTGGGAGCTGAGCGATACGGCCGTGCACGCAGCACGGAGCTGTACATGCCGGCCGATTCCCGTGTGAATGAGACCTTACGGACCAGAGTTGAGAAAGTGCTAGCTTAGTAAAAAGAAATCATCCTAACAACACCGGACGATGTATAAAAGTGCCGGAGGGAACTGCCTGTGATACCTGTTGAGCCCGAGCCGGTTCTGCCTTCCTGCTCAGGTTAGAAAGTACAAAGCAGGGAGCTGATTGGCTAACGTGGGCGGCGGATACAGTTCCCGTTTCAAGGCTGCCGCGTTTCAAGGCCCAGAAGATGAACTATTAGTCCTTCATTTCAGTACCGTGCATGTTCGGATTCCTCTATACGGAATCACAAATTCACATCCGTTGTGACACTAACTCCCGGCTTTCCATGGCCAGAGATGTTTTCTCCGTTATGATATGACTTTATTTCTTTTTTTGGCTGGTAGATCTCGGCGTACTCTGTATATAAAGCACATGGGACACAATATATTTCTTACCAAGACTTTGTGAAATCATTTTACTCGTGAACTCATTTTTTTGCCTTTTATTTTGTATGCAATTAAAAAATAAAAGAACAAGTTTGCTGTTTGTACTGTAACTATAAAAAGACTGAACCTTCTGCTGCCTCCCCGGGTTGTAGTATATGATGTCTCTGTATATTTCTAGTGTCGGTGGTTTTTGTGCATTTATTGTTTATCTTGGTTAAATAAATAATTTCAAAGTTTAAGACCCGTGCGTCGTTATTTATGTCTCTGCCCATGGAAGTCATTTTTTGCTAAATATAAACTTCGTGAGTCCAAAAAAAAAAATGGATTAAGTGAACAAAAAAAAGACAGACCTTATTCACATGGGAAACGGCCGGCACGTACGTTTCCGGCAGCTCCCGGGAAGGACAGGTGCTGCGTGTGATTAGTACACAGCCCCCGTCCTTCTCTACGCGGCCGTACGCCACCCTACGTTTACCTCAAGTGCAGGTCGGGTGCGGGTGTCCCTGCTCGGACGCAGACAGGATCCATCCTGTCCGTTTACGAATACGGACACCTGCACGGAAGGGCAGGTGCTGCGTGTGATTAGTACGCAGCCCCCGTCCTTCTCTATGGGACTACGCAGCCATACACCGCCCTAAGCGTCGGTGCGGGTGACTCGTACACTGACGGGATAGATCCTGTCTGCATGTGAGCCATAAAACACGCACCCCTACAGACCTGCACTTGGGGTGAGCGTAGGGTGGCATACGGCCGCGTATTCCCATAGAGGACAGGGACTGCGTACTAATCACATGCAGCACCCGCCCTTCCTGGGAGCTGAGCGATACGGCCGTGCACGCAGCACGGAGCTGCACGTGCCGGACGATTCCACTGTGAATGAGACCTTAATCTTTCAGTTACTTTACGATCTGCTGCAGGCGGGAGGATACATTTCCTCAGTCTCCCCTCTCCCAAGGATCAGACTGCAACTTTTTTTGTATATGCCCATGTAAAATATCACCCATTCCCTGGCGCCGTGTTGGAAGAGGCGACGTGCGCGCCCCCGAGTCCCCTTAGGCCGAGCGGCGGCCGGTGAATGATTTTTCCCAGCAGCCCCTGCGCCGGCTGCCTCCTCCTGCGCTCCCCGGACTGAACATGGCGTTCACGTTCGCGGCCTTTTGTTATATGCTGGCTCTGCTTCTCACCGCGGCGCTCATCTTCTTCGCCATCTGGCATGTAAGTACCGGAGAGAGACCTGGCCCCGGGAGGATGGAGATGCTGGTTTTCTCCCACCCTCCTCCCTCTCCGGGGCAAGGTCCACCCAGAGTGGGCTAGGCCCCTTCATACATAGCAGCTAATCAGGGGGTCTTTCTTCACATGGCAGCTGGTTGCTATGGGTAACTGCTTACTTTGGGTTTTCCACAAGACAGGGTTTTTTGTTGCTAGCGACAACAAGTTATTGACTGCAGAGTCACATGATTGGGAGCTTGTTGCCTGTAGTAACCAGGCCCCGCATAGAGTTCACTTGAACGTAAGCCATGACTGGGTGATGGACCTCGCCTCTAATTTTCTATAGGTGGCCACAGACATTGTGAATGACCGGTCCCACCCTCCCGCAGTGTGGTTTTGGCTCTGATTGGGTCACCGGAGTGTGGGATCATTCAGACAAGTACTGGTCAACTTTGTGAATTTTTAGGGTGCCACAAGCGTGGCCCTCAAAATGTCTTGAGGGCCCCTGATTCCAAAATGTGTGTTAGCAAGTAGTAAAATGCATGTCCTAGCGTGTAGTACTTCAATGCCCGGTTACCTGTGTGCCCTTTCTGAATGACACCCCCAGATTGCAGTGCAGTACAGCGGCTGTGCGTTGTGTTGCATTTCCCCCCTTGTGGACGGCAGTTAAAACCACATTGATGATGGGAGGTGGGGACTGGCTCCTGATCATGTGACCACTGTGACAGTAACAGAGATCACATGATCAGGGGCCCACCCCATCTCTGGAATGTAAACAGTGAAGGGAGGCTGTAGGTGACACCTCCGTCACTGCTGGGAGGGCGCTTCTGAAACACAATGGACACATGTATGTGGAGGCCGGGCGTAAAACCACCTTCCGGCTGCCGACCCACAACAATGGACGCATACATGTGGAGGCCCGGGTGTAAAGCCAGCTTGCATCATAGAAGAATGGACACATATGTGCGGCAACCAGGCGTAAAGCCATCTTCTTGCAGCCAGGTCCCATCTGACAACAATGGACGGATATGTGCCGTCACCGGACATAATGCCACCTTCCTGCAGCTAGGTCCTAGCACACGACAATGACGCATATGTGCAACGACCGGACGTAAAGCCACCTTCCAGCACAGAACAATGGACGCATATGTGAGGGAACCGGGTGTAAAGCCACCTTCCAGCACAGAACAATGGACGCATATGTGAGGGAACCGGGTGTAAAGCCACCTTCCAGCACAGAACAATGGACGCATATGTGAGTCAATCGGGCGTAAAGCCACCTTCTTGCAGCCATGTATTTGGTGTGACCCCCCAGGATGGGGGGGTGGGTGGGTTCTGGATGTGATCGGTGGAGACTTGATCGGTGGAGCTCCCTAGCAGCAGGTCTCCTGATCAGTAATCTGTTGCTGGCCGAGGTCATTGTAGCCGCGATCTTTTGCTGAAGACAGTACTGCAACACCCCTTCCTGACCAGCCACTGTAACACGAAGTGCGCGACGTCCTGTCACTTCGATGTAAACGCAGTGGGGATGTGATGTCCCCTTTGTGTTTACATTGCCTGCTGCCAGCTCACCTATGTAGCACTTGGTAGCAGGAGCCCAGGAGGTGATTGATTGAGCTCCTAGGCTCTGTGCTGGGCGGTGTCTGTCACCGATAGCTGGCTGCCGCTTGTTGTGTAGCCCACTGTGCTCCAGGTGGGATTAAAGCTCTGGGGCACAGCATGCTGAATGCCGGTAGGCTGCTTGTTGGGCACCAAGGTTTCATACAGTTGTTGGATGCATGGGACAGCCATGGCATTGGCTGATCACATTGGACATAGTTATAGTGTGGTCTTCTCACCTGCCTTATTGTGTAGGTTTCCCTACGTCCTCTGGGTCATGGCCGTCTGATATTACTTATGGACCTACGTTCTGATCCAGCTTTCATGTCTCTGGGTGCTTTAGATGTCAACTCAATCACAAAATGTGAGGGAACCGGTTTGCTTCCCGTTCTGGGACAATAGTGTGAAGATGATATGGCTTCAGCTATAGCTGCTTAATGCAAGTATGTCTACCAGTGCTTGGATGCCCTCAGGGCATGGGCACTATATTCACAGAACCGGTACGCCTTTCGGGAACCCCAGAGGGGAAAGTCCAGGTACTGTGAGAGGTGATCCTCAGAAAATAAGTGATCTCTATCTGGGCAGAAAGTCAGGAGCGGCAACGTGGAGAGTATCTGTTATCCAAAGCTAGGGTCAGGGCAGGCAATGTTCAGACACACGACCATTATCTGTAGCAGGCTCCGGGCAGGCAATGTTCAGACAGAAGTCCATTATCTGTAGCGGGGTCAGGGCAGGCAATGTTCAGACACACGACCATTATCTGTAGCGGGGTCAGGGCAGGCAATTTTCAGACACACGACCATTATCTGTAGCAGGGTCAGGACAGGCAGCATTCGGAGAGCTATAATCCCACCTATGGGCTAGAGAGGCCGCTGATTACTGAGCAGCCAATAGGAAGGCGTGCAAGAGGATGGAGCTCAAAATGTATGCAAACTCTCATCAAAAGAAACGCCTCGCCTTTATTCTAATGCAACCGGTTTTTGCTCTCTCTGTTGTAGTTCTGCTAAGGTGACTGTAAATCCTTTAATGAGTATAGAAACCTGATAACAATGGAATATATTGAAGCTTACTAGTCCTTAGGTGTGGCGGCTGCTTTAGTTTTATGTTTTTCTTTAATTTTCATCTGGTGATTCTGCCGGAAACACACTTCCTGTCCTATGGTGACAATGATCACTCTCCTGTGCAGCAGCAACAGAAACATGATAAAACTACGGAGACGTTAAGGCTAATTGGCTCCTGTCTAAATTGGCCCTGTGTGTATGGATGTGAGATAGGGACCTTAGATTGTAAGCTCCTTGAGGGCAGGGACTAATGTGAATGTGCAGTATGTAAAGCGCTGCGTAAATTGTCGGCGCTCTATAAATACCTGTCATAAATAAATACATTTGGCCAGGTGTAGTTCCAGGCAGCTAGTAAGTCCCGGCATGTCTGGGTAGGTAAATGGATCCCTCTACGCAGAGAAGAATTGACATGCGTAATAACGTCAGGTGGATAGGATTCAGCTGGAGCAGCAAAAACACGCTCTGCTGTCAGAGTACAAAGGTGTCTGATGTAAGCGCTGAATGTAGACCAGTAGGTGTCTCAAGTGTCCGTGTTCAGTACAGGTGTGACCTCTGTCATGCTCGGTAAATGCGCTCAAGCTTATTTAGGGCTGCTTCACACTGGACAAGTTGTCTTGCATTTTCCTGATCTTTTCCATCTGCTCAGGTGATTTTCTCATCCAGATCCCCCGTCATACTACACAGCCAGTTTCTGACCTCACATTTTATTTTACCTGTGATAAAATGAGTACAGCTTGGTTAAAAGAGAACTATGGTGTAAATGTTTTTTCCCCCATAGTTCTCTTAAGGTTCACAGGAGGACATATGCTAACCTCCTCCCGTGACCCAAAGCTCAGTATACATGGAGCTACAGCTCGCGGTATACTGAGAGCGCTGCAGGCGGGACGGATCCCGACATTACTGTCTGGATCCACCCAGCTGCGTGAGTGACAGCTGGCTCTGCCTATCTAGAGGCAGAACCAGCTGTACCCGCCCCCTCCACGTCCGTTCCGCCAGTCATCGCTGGAGGTTCAGAGCGGGGTGGAGAGCCGTGACTGACAGTCAGTCGCTGCTCTCTGCAGGAAGATGATCGAGAAGTGAGCGAGCGATGTCGGCTCAAACTATGAGGATGAGGGATTTTCACTCACCTCATAGTTCTCCTTTAAGGATAGATAGGCATTATGGCTGCTTCCTGGCTTCGGAGGAGTGTGGAGGAAGGGAATTGGGGTAAGGCATGATAGGGATCTGCACCTTAACCTTTATTGCTCATTTGTATTGTCGGTAGTGGTGAAAGGTTCACTCGTCTAATTGCTGGTTTGCGTTGGGCAGAGTGCAAAGCTCAATCATGGATGTAAAGCGTACGTCAGGACAAAATATAAAAATATGTTCAGTACATCTCTGCAATGCATGCACATATTTTGTCTCTAAGAACACTGCTAGTAAGGAAAATATGATCTGCCAGAAATTCGGTGAGCTCCTACCTTCCTGTAGTAAGCTGACAACACTGCTTTTGCTGCACTGTAATCCCAAACAGTGCTTTCAGCCATGCCTGTGTTCTCATCTCCAGAAGGATGAGGTGTTGTGTAGTCTAACATTTTCAGGGCAACAAAGGCAGCGTTGTCGGATCAGGCAGTTAGAAGCTCACTGGATTTCTGGCAGATCTGGCTCGGGTTTACCGAGGAGCAAATACCGTAATGCAAAAAAGCCATTTTTTTCCACCTTCTATCCTCTATAATATGTACTTAAAATAAACCGCCAGGTCGCCAATGCTCTTTAAAAATTACAGCTGGCGTCTAACTTTTGGGGTTCTTTGTAGTTGTTAGAGAAATGCCGGTATCGGTGCATCCCTATCGAGTACCGATATTTTTTTTCAGTACTCGCCGATACTGGACGTCCCATTCAGGAAGCCAGGCGGAGTATAATGACTCGCCACCTGGCTTCCTGATTAGCAGTGAAGCCGTCTCCATGCTCCCTCGTCATTATATGACGAGAAAGCACGGAGCCGGCTTTGTGGCCAATCAGGAAGCCAGGCGCCGTGTAATGAGGTGACGAGGGAGCATGAAGCCGGCTTCCCGGCCAATCAAAGCCGGGCGCCGCGTTATTACACTGCCGGCTTTCTGGCCAATCAGAAAGCCGGGCGCCGTGTAATGACACAGCGCCTGGCTTCCTGATTGGCCGGGAAGCCGGCTCCATGCTCCCTCGTCACAAGTGACGAGGGAGCATGGCGCTAGCTTTCCAGCCAATCAGGAAGCTGGGCGGCGTGTAATGACGCGCTGCCTGGCTTCCTGATGCATGAAGTATCGGGCTAGGCATCGGAGCATTTGGGCGAGTACTCCACATCGGAAGCGATACTAGTATGGGTGCATCCCTAGTTGTTCATGGAGCTGGCTCCTGGATTGGACACACTGGCTCCTGAATTCCTTAATATTCAATTTGTACCACAAAATTTGTGTTTGTCGATGGGATAGCTCATATGGAAATGATTTCCTTTTGTTTTTTCCTTTTCAGATAATTGCATTCGATGAACTGAAAACAGACTACAAAAATCCTATAGACCAGTGTAACACGCTGAATCCAGTAAGTCCCAGCTCATGGCAGAGCTCCCTGTGGTGTGTCTGCACGTCATTCATGCTTGCTATGTCAGTGAAGGTTGTTCTGTCTGTATCGGAGCCTGCAGGGGTGGGATGTGATGGTGGAATGAAGGTACCGTCCCACTTGGCAGCATTGTCTTAGGAAGTACAGTAGACTGCCTTTTGGCTTTCCAGCTTCAGTAGAAATGAGTTGAAGCCGGCACCAGCAAAAGGTTTGAGGGACTTGTTGATACTTGTAGTTCCGCTGAAGTTGCAGGACCAAAGTTCATACACTGTATGGCTAACTAATCGATTTTGAAAATAATCGTTAGCTGCAGCTCTAATTTCCAGGTCAGTTTGGGATCCCATTTTGCGATGTTCAGATGTTTCTCTCATTTAAATGTCATATTGCGTGCCGTGCCATGCGCAGCTTTACAGATTACACAGAACCGCTGACCTAGATTGCTGGCCTAGAAGAGCTCGCAATCTCTTAATCCTACCGCAGACCCACTGCACCAATTAACATGCTGGTATGCCTTTGGATTGAGGGAGGAAGCGGGGAAACGCACGATCATGGCATATACAGTAAACTCCCCATTATCTTTCATTCAAGCAACCGGCTAAAAATATTAAAGAATAATGAAATACACACACACGCCAGATTATTATGACCCCCCCCATCAGTACTTCGTTGGGCCGCCTGGTGACTCCACGAGATGATGAAAGGTGGTGCGAGGAATCTGACACGGCACTGTTGCCCTTCTGTTGTCTTGTACCAGTCTTGCCCCTCCCCCGTTCTGCCCTAACATTGACTAGTCGCTGACGGCCACAATTCCCACGTTCAGACCCAGATTTTCGGCTGACAGTCCGGTCTTTAAACACTTTAACAACAGCTGCTCTTGAACATTTAGCGAATTCTGCTGTTTTGCTGATACTCGCTCCATGGCTCAGAGCGCCAACAATCATCCCGCGTACAAAGGCTGTTACATCGCGTTGTTTCCCCGTATCTTCAGAAACAAATCACTTCTACTGTCGTGGTAAACAACCTGCTTCCCTATTTATAATGGTCTGGCCCTCTAGCAACTTCAGCACCAAATTATAGCTAATTTGCCTACAAACGTCAGGTGCTCATAATAATCTGGCCACTCAGTGTATATATTTATTTGTATTGTTAGCACATGGCGCTTGAATAGCTTCAGCCAGGGAATGACGGCTGCCAGTGGCAAGATTCTGCAGACGGCAGTGTAATGTAAATACAGCAAGCAGTGGGCGGGTGCAATAGCCAGCCTGCTATTGGCCATTTCAAATTGCAATAGCAGGCAGGCTATTGCACCCCCCCCACTGCTTGCTGTGCACTCCACCCAGCGTGGAGGAGAGAGCTAGAGGGTCCAACCCACTAATTCATAATGAGAACAGTTGACAACTATTCTCCATTATCGATTTTAATATTGGTTAATCGATTAGTTGGTTGCAGCCCTACACACAAGTGTGGCTTCATAGGACCCTGCAAGGGAAAGAAACCACCCTAAAAGAGGATATCGGGGCCAGTGCTCAGGGGACCGGCTGATTCTGCAGGAACCTGAAACTTTTAAACATCAAGAAGCAGCATCTATTGCTAAAACATGAAAAGAGATGTGCGGAAGTGGGCCGGTACCTTTCGGAGCCGGTAATGAGTTGTGTCTCCTCGGCATTTGTGCATTGAAGATGAGAGATGTCTGCCGTTGTGTGTGTGGCTGTTATTCTCCCTCTGCTCCTGCCAGCTGGCACACTAACATTCTTTCAATCTGCTTTTTACTTTGTCGCAAACAAAAAAAAAAAAAGTCATTTGAAAAGCTGAAAAAGATTAAAAGAGTGAAAATTGCACTCAAGGTGTGTACATTCGACTTGATCAACTGCCACGGTTTATTTTTAGGAACATCTGTTTGTTCAATTGTTTGGTCCCCCCCTACTCCCCCCATACATCCCCGCCTACCCCCAGACATGCCTGTGTCATCTACATCCTCTCAGATTTGCAGTAAATCGGTTTATCTGCTCGTAACGAATAACTTGGGTTTTGCCTGCTGACTAAAAATAACATAAACTGTTTTATGCCTTCAGAGGATATAAAATGCTCAGATGCCATGAACGCAGCAAAAGCAGCTGCTAAAACCGAGATAGCATGTACGCAGGGCACTACAAGTCCCATGATGCATTGCAAGACTCGGGAATCTGCAGCTGGCGGCCTCTGTAATCGCACAGCCGCAGCACCCGAGGCTTTCTGAATCCGCAAACAGTGATTGCATTGTATGCAGTTACTTGGCCGACCATCCCATAGGAAATTCCTATGCTCCTCAGCTCTATCTAGTGGCCATCGTGCAATGTGAATGCCAACAGCTCTGCAAATGTTTTATAAAGACACCCCTATGATTTTTCTCTTAGTACCCCTGCAAAGTTCCACAAATACCTGCAGCTTCTTGTAATGGGGTGGCAATGATGCTGCACTGCTCCTGAATTCAGTGCAGAGTTGTCGCCCTCGTGTATGCTGTGTCTGCTTGCACTACAGTGGGCTGAGAAGAGGTTACGGGGGGGGGTTGAGGTTATCTGCATTGTCACTGCTGATTGACAAGCCTGAAGCTCATCGGTCAGTACCTGGCCACAGCTAGCCCCGCCCACTGCTTTCTGATGGACAGTACCCTCCCACTTTGAGCTGCAGTGTCCTGGAGGAGGATTCAAGTAGTAAAATATATCACCAGCACACCGGGGTCAAATCTGCAGAAAGTGATAATTTTATTGATGCGCACACATATTGTCACATTGCAATGTTTCGGGGCCACTTAGGGTCCCTTCCTTTGTCATGACAGAGCTGACCCTGAGTGGCCCCGATACATTGCAATGTGACAATGTGATCACTTTGTGAGGGCCGGTGCACACCTAGGCGACACCTCGATCCCGGAGGTCTGCACCGGGCCTGAAGATTTGACCAGGGTGTGCTGGTGATTTATATTTTACTACTTGAATCTGAAGCGGCGCCATCCGCAGTCACTACAGCACCCACCGGGACTAACCAGCAAGGAGTGCGGGAGGATTCTCCTGTATGGAGGACGCTTGTTCTCAATCGGGGAAGGTGAAGAAAGCTTCGTCTCTACTTTGAGTCTTGTGCATCACGTAGTAAATGGATTTGGTTCTTGTTTAGGCCCGGTTCACACCTGAGCATTTTGTAGCGCGTTCCTACGTTCTGCAAAATGCTCAAACACCGAAATCCCATTATTTCCTATGGGTATGGTTCACACTCGGGCGTATTACAGGCCGTATAAACGCGCGACAAAACGCCCTACGCCCCAAAGAAGTACAGGAGCTTCTTTGGGGCGTTTTTGTCGCACGTATCCATTGGAATACAGCCAAGTAGCCCTCGGAAACGTGTTTGTTGTGCGTTTTTAACCGTAAATCGCGTGACAAACGCGCATATTCGATACGCCTTGGTGTGAACCCAGCCTTCGACTGTCAAACAGGAGCCTTAGGTTGTACTTTTAGTTGTACACTAGCAAAAAAAAAAATGTTTAAACTGCCAATTACAATTTACGTCGTATGATGTTGGTGCAACTCTTTATCAAACCCAGAACTGCAGGAAACATTAGGCCTCATTCACACAGCTAAGAGTCGGCTCGTACAGATCCGTGCGGCGTGCAAAGCCGTATCGGGCCGCTCCTGGGTAGGACAGGCGCTGCGTGTGATTGTATGCAGCAGTCTGTTCTTCCCTATGGGAGGACACCACCGTATGCTGACCCGAGCTGCACATCCGTGCTGGTGTCCCTACTCTGGATGGAGCCCGTCTGCGTCCGAGCACGGATGTGCGGCTCAGGTGAGCGTACAGCTGCCTCCTCCCATCGGGAAGAACAGGCTGCTGCGTACAATCGCACGCGTCCCCGATACGCCCGTGCACACGGATCTGTACGGGCCGACACTTAGCTGTGTGAATGAGGCCTTACACTTGTAACTTTTATTGTACAAAAACACAATCCGATACCCAATTATTTTGTAAAATATGAAAGATGAGGTTGTGCCGAGTAAATAGCCAACATGCCAAGCTTAAAAATTGTGCACGCCCGTAAAAAAGCGACAAAATACACTACCTCAAATTGTCCATAGGCGATGGTTTAAAAGCCTGTACAGGTTATCAGTTTAGAATGAACCGAATATTGGCCCCAGAATGATTGCTTTCGCTCTGGCACACGCAGCGATACCCAACACGTGTGGCATAATTGTCGTTTTCATATGCAAGCACGCCTGATGCATGTTTACGTTGGTGTGATGGCATACTAGTGGTGACGGCTTCTCTTTTATAGTGGCATTAGGGGGTCTATTAGACCCCTGGTGTCACCTTTCCACTTCAAAGAAGCTATTCCAACGAAGATCTTGTTTGATCAGCTGCTTCTCTAGCCAGGGAAGGACAGCGCACAAACCGGAAGTGATGCAATCGGCATCGCTTCCGGCTCCATTCAGCCTGGGAGATCAGCGAATGGGTGTTCGTCGGTCTCTTCCTGCCGATAACCGTGATGCCAGTCCTGGGCCCGCAGGAATGGCAACGGAGCCTGGGAAGAAAGGTGGGGGTGTCTGGCGTGACACGCATGCACGCACACTCTCCACCGGCCCTACACCACTGCTTTACTATTGTGAACAGAGTACACAGCTGGAGCCACTGCCAGCGACGTATGGTATATATTGTTGTCAGTGAAATGGTTAAAGCAGGATGTAGGCAAACTCCAACCCTCCAGCTGTGTTGCAACTACATATCCCATCATTGCAAGACTCTGGCAGCCACAGGCATGTGAGAGTCATGCCTGTGGCTGTCAGTCTTGCAGTGCCTCATGGGATTTGTAGTTACACCGCAGCTGGAGGGCCGGAGTTTGCCCACCCCTGGTTTAAACCATATGAAAAGGTGACATTTGTAAGCAACCCCTAGCAGTGTTTTATGGTGTCTCAACCCCTCCCTCACTTGCGCCAGACAACTTGGCCTGTTAAGGTCGGCGCAGTAATAGAACTGTTACAGGGGGGACTCCGAAATAAAAACTGCTGTTACTGCCAGTGACCGGCTGCATCTTGTAGATCTCTTCATTTCGCTCATAGTATCACTTTAGCTTTCGCAGTCTCATGCATTGACTTATTCAGAAGGCATTTTACAGTTTAATTTCAATGTCCCCTCATAATTCACTCTCTCCATAACACACGCATAGTCCCCGGTCCATAATACTAACCAGTTGTGAGGTTGTTATGCATGATATGGGATGTGCAGAAATCCTGGTTGGCCTGCGGTATGCAGCAGGGATGAAGCGGTGTCAGGTTAGGTAGGTTGTCATGTAATAAACAGATCTGGGCTTATTTATAAAGATCGCAGTTCCAGTTTTAGCGTTTTTAATCAGTTTTGCCATTTTTTATTATAAATATATATTTTATTCCAGTTGCATGTAGACATTTTTTTTTTAATCCTTATAAATAAGCCCCAAAGTTAGTGATATACTTCACGCTGCCCTTGGAGTAACTCCCAGCATGCTCTGTATGCCCATCTGCTTCATGTAAAGACCATTGAGGTCTATATGATGCCTGCTGCATGCTTTGGTTGATGTACGCTGCATCCTATTTAAAGGGTAAGTTCACCTTTTCATAAAAGGTGGACTAACTCATAAGACACCCCCAGTATAGCAATATAATGTTTGCGATGGTCAGTGTTTATTGGTCAGCGCGGCCATGTGACCGTGGTGCTGCACATGTGATAAGCTAGGACATCAGCCATTGAGGGCTTGGACTATCAGGTGAGAGCAGAAGTAAGCACATTGGCATCCCTTGACAATTGGCATCCCTTGAAAGTAAGTGTTTTGGAGACCATTAAATCAGTTCTGCTGTACTTAGCATTTCAGGGTTCCCGTAAGGACACCGGTGACTCCTACGCAGAGCTTTCCTTCGATGGCAGTTAAATGGAGCTGTCGGATGATGAGTATATGCTGCTGGGGAGGGTATATAGTCAAAGCACAGGTTCTCTTTAAGTACCCATTTTGACTGGATTAATAAAAATACGGCCTGGCACAACAGAAAACCTTTTACATTTTGATAATGGGGAGAGCTTCTCCTGATCTTGCAGAGGCCCCCAATAGGAGGAAAAGAACACAGGGAGCCATGATGCTAAATTTATACTTGGGGAGCAGACGGGTGCCACAAGCAAAGCCGCAGTATTAAAAAGTGATGTCCCCCCGTGATTATTCTATAGTGCTGGAGGGTCTGTGAATCGTAAGACTGACACAACAGAGTAACAGATAGTTTAGCAGATATAGAGAGTCCCCCCTATGTGTATTTCAGCAGTGCGCTTGGCATTTTAGTTGCAGTCTTGCTATCACGGGACACTCTCATGCTGACTGATGTAACCCTTCCCCGTACTTCACTCGCCCCATTTCACCCTCGATGGCAGGTGATACCCTGAATATGTTAGACGTAGGCTTGCACGTGTAGTTGTAGGATGTGATGTCCCTGGAGATGTCTGTTCATGTAACCGTTCTTTCTGTTTTTGTCATTCTTTTTCAGCTTGTGCTTCCAGAGTATCTCATCCATGCGTTCTTCTGTGTCATGTTTCTATGTGCTGCGGAATGGCTCACTCTCAGTTTAAACATGCCGCTGCTGGCATACCACATTTGGAGGTAATATTTCACTCATTGTGATCAGCGTTTTGAAAGGAAATCGGTTAACGCTCCAGACAGACATGAAAATGGAAAAAAAATAATTACATTTCTTTACAGCTGGTTATAATCCCTGAATCCGCTTCCTCTATTCCTCTGCACAGCAGCACTGGACTCGGAGGGGACGTCACTTTAAGGCCTCATTCACACGCGAAAAAGGCCGGAACGTACAGCTGCGTGCGCGGCCGTATCGGGCAGCTCCCGGGAAGGACAGGTGCTGCGTGTGATTAGTACACAGCCCCCGTCCTTCTCTATGGGAGTATGCGGCCGTAAGCTGCCCTACGCTCACCTCAAGTGCAGGTCTGTAAGGGTGCTGATCCTGTCAGCATACGAGTAGGCTCACCCGCACGGATGTGCAGGTCAGCGTAGGGCGGCGTACGGCCTCCTACTCCCATAGAGAATTTTTAAAGAAATTGCCATATAAATACCTTTTTACTTTTAGGCCCCTTTCACACGGTCCTATCAGGAGGGGATCCATGAATCTATAAGCAGTAAAAACCTGATGTGTTGTAACCAGGGATACACCGATTACCAGTATCGGTATCAGTGCCAATACTGAGTATTTGGGTGAGTACTCGTACTCTCCCAAATGCTCCGAAACCTTCCCCGATACTGGAAGGTCCGGCCACAGAAGATGATCTCCTCTGACCGGCAGTGCCCTAAGGGAACATGGAGCCAGCTTCCCTGGCCAATCCGCATAGAGCAGGCTGCACCGGTATCTGTACTCAGTATAGGCGAGTACTGAAAGCAAAATATCGGTACTTAGTACTGAAAACCTGTATCGGTGAATCCCTAGGTGTAACTTTTCCCTTCTCTTTCTCTGATATTTAATGACCAGAATTTTGCTTTATTAAAAAGTTGCTTTACTTTTTATACTTGAAAAGCTGTACACCACTTGGATATTTTTTTTACATTATTGCAAATCACTATTGTGTATTATGTTCTTTTCAGGTATATGAGCAGACCGGTGATGAGCGGGCCCGGCCTGTATGATCCCACCACTATTATGAATGCAGATATTCTGGCATACTGTCAAAAGGAAGGATGGTGCAAACTAGCTTTTTACCTGCTCTCATTTTTCTACTATCTTTATGGGTAAGTCGTGCTGTTGTAGATGTATTCTCTTCACCTGTCGGGTGTTTGTGACAGAATCGTGTGATATGACCTAACGGCAGCCATTAGCACCGTCAAAGGAAAGTTAAAGTGACACTAAACTCAGGAGTTACTGGAGAACTATGAGGTGAGTGAAAATCACTCACCTTCATAGTTCGAGCCGACGTGTGACAATGAAACTGTAACACGTCGGCTCAATAGATCAGGAAGTGAGCGAACGCATACAGTCGCTCCCTCACTTCTCGATCATCTCCCTGCAGAGAGTGTTGACTGTCCATCAACGCTCTCTGCAGGGATTCCTTCGCTCTGATCTTCCAGCGCTGACTGGAGGAACAGACGGGTACAGCTGGCTTTGCCTCTAGATAGGCAGAGCCCGCTGTCACTCATGCAGCTGGGTGGATCTCAACAGCATTGTCAGGATCATTCGTGGCTGTCCCAGTATACCGCGAGCTGTAGCTCGTGACATACTGAGCTTTGGGTCACGGGAGGAGGTTAGTGACCTCTAAGAACTATGGGGGAAAAACACCCCATAGTTCTCTTTTAAACCCTAAAAATACATTAAAGTCCCTTAACTAGTAACATCAATGTATCTTATTTGTGTATCACTCGGCTGTAGATCCTCCAATCGTGTGTGTGTGTGTGTGTGGTAAAGTAGTCACCGCTCCGAGCTCGCTCCCAGGATGGACTACAATCTCAATACAAATTAGTAAACTAAATGTGACATTTTGTAGTCCATGACGGGAGCGAGATTGGAGCGGTGATCACTTTACATATGGGGAGGCTTAGAATCACATGTAGGCGTTACCTAGTGTGCTCTGGGTGCAAATAATGCCTGCCTAGGAAGTACACTCTTCCAGACTGGCACCCACCCTTCAAGGCATTGTGATATTTGCATAACTCCTCCCTAGAGCCAGCCTACTGCTTGCATCAGGGCTGTGATATTTTCAGGAAGCTATCTACAGCACCGTGCTGGCCCCTCCCACCACCCATGATCTGCCTTCATTGCATGGAGAAGCACGGAATAAAGTATGCATTGAAACCGGAAGGTTTTATTTAATAATTAGCATGTTGATGAGGGGAGGAACCAGGGAAAGCAATATATGTAAGCAGCTTAAACTTCGGCTTTAAGTGGATAGATTTGGCTACATCTGAATCCCTAACCTCATTTAATTTCCTGTTTTCTTGCAGCATGATTTACGTTCTGGTGAGCTCATAAGGCGGCGGAAGAAGTTGGCTCAAGCTATTTGCATGCAAACTATAAACACTATAGGCATTTGATCCGACAAGATCCTACCACAATGTCCAACGAGGTCCCTGGAAGACAAGTACTTGAGAGGGAAACACGACTTCCTAGTTTTTAACAGATCCAGTTTTGTGACGATGGGAAGTCTTTTTTGTTTTATGAAGACTGGGAAATTTATGTCAGCATTGTTATTCGGTAGAGCAACAAGGCCAGACACGGGCTGCAGGAAAGCTTTTCATCTGAGTGACTGCCACAGCAATCACTTCCATGTAATTCGGAATAAACTCTTCGCTGTCGATTTTACACCTCCATGGAATCCTCTGCTTCATGGGCCTAGATGTGCAATCGCTTTGGGGGATATTTATGTGCTTGTGTTTACACAAAGGGATGTGTGGGTATTGGTTTCTCAGTGTTCATGCACAAAGTAGTACAGGCCAGCGAGTTTTCTTTTACCAGTTTCATTTCTGACAGGAAAACAGTTGGGGGAAATAAAACGTCATCGCACAATTCTAGTTATAAGAACGTCTATGGTCTACATCTGTATACAAAATAACCTCGCAGCAGAATAGCTGCCTGTGGCCTTCCAGGTCGGCAATCCTTCCAGGTCATGAGATATGTAAACCAAATCCTAGGTGTGTCTCGCCGTGGTAGAAAGATAGTAAATGTATATTCTACTTGGCGGTGTTTAAAAGCAATTTGCAAGCAAACAGGAATGTATTGTGCTGTGCATCTGTCACGTGGCCCATTCTACAAGGCAGAGAGTTTGTTTGGATTCCATAGAGGTGAGGCCCAGCCACGCCGTATCCGGTGCGGTTCAAGCCCAAAACACACTAGGTCGCATAGATCAAGCTGTGCAACGTTCTGGGGCAGGAGGGGCGTGTGTCGGTGCCATTCATGTCAATGGCACCGCAGACACGCCCCCCCGCCTGCAGTGCGATCGCCCGCACCGGAACCCGAGGTACAGGAATGCCCTCTCTTCCAGTGCAGTGAACCTGCAGCTTTTTTCAGATCGCACTGCACTGGAACGGAGGGCATTCCTGTACCTCGCGTTCCGGTGCGGGCAATCGCACTGTGAGCGGGGTAAGTCTGCGGTGCCATTGACATGAATGGCACCAAAACACCCCTCCCGCCTCAGAACGCTGGGGTGTTGCCGGAATGAGAAATGTCAGGGCAGATTGGAAGTAGAGTATGGTCACACCCATGGAGCCCAATAGAGTCTATCCTGGGGAACCCTATTCTTATACATTTTGCATGAGTGTCATTAAGAAGAGCTCCGAGCTTCTCATTGATACATGTGAGTCTCTGTTTAGCTTCTCTTAGTGGGTTGTCGCCAGGATTTAGCAATCATCTGCCTCATGGCCAGGAAAATATGATTGGTCAACGTGCATTCATATTTCAAGAGGTTTGGGATCTTAATAAGGCTTCCCAAGAATGTTGCACTAGTATGCAGTGAAGTATGAATTTGATGAGGTGGGTCACACAGATCCACAACTTTTGGGTTTCGGGAGACTTACTCCCAGATGTGGAGCATGGGCCCTCAAGCAGCTCAGCCCCCAAAAACTGAGGAGATAATGCAGGAGTGTAGGCCAGGGCTGGGCAACTCTGGCCCTCCAGCTGTGGTGGAACTACAGGTCCCATGAGGCATTGCAAGACTGACAGTTACAAGTATGACAGGCAGAGGCATGTTGGGATTTGTAGGTAAAGCACAGCTGGGGGGCCGGAGTTGCCCATTTCTGGTGTAGCCAGTGAATTTCTAATTGTCTTTATTATTGCTATGTTTGCCTTTTGTAATCTCGGCTTGAAGGACACGGGAGATCTAAAAGAACTGAACTGCACGTCCCTACAAATTCCTGGGGCAGAAATCTAGCATTCCCTTCATCTACAGTATGTACATATATTACTTTGCAGTGAAAGCGATTTCATAACGAGCTGGCTCTATAGATACCCGTAGTTTGTTTACAGGCAGTGCTTACTGATGATGTACCTGTGTCTAGTCCAGTCTTCAAGGAGGAATCCCCCAGGTTGGGTGCTGACAATGACCAGCTTAAAGTGTATCCAAAGCATTTTTGCTTGTTTTGGATAGCGTGTGGAAGGATTAGACCTCCTGTCAGTCTCACTCCCATTGGGGGTTCCATTGGAGACATTGCTTCACTTCCTGTCTGGTAAGAAGGTTGTTCTCAGGACAAAGTGAGCGGAAATCTCTCTTAACTGCAACACAGACACTTTCATGGGATGGTGCTCAGGTCTAGCAGCCAATCACTAGGCCCAAGCACTGTGACAACACTCCCCCCTAAAGCAGTGGTTCTAAACCTGTGGGTCGTGACCCAAAAGTGGGTCACAACCCACAGTTGAGGGGGTCGCCACATGTGTTGTGCTGCGCTAGGTGAGAGGCTCTTCAGCCGCCTCCTAGAGCAGCAGTGTCAGTTGTCTGGCCTTGCCACTAGATGGCGCTGCAGCGGCCAGGGAGGATCAAAGAGAGGAGAGTGGGCGGGCCTCACATCATGGTACGCCTTGTGTCAGGAGTGAGGGAAGGTGCTCTTTTGTAGAAGAATGGTCCACTGTAGCTGTGTGTGTAAATACAGCACACTACATGGCACTGGCCACCAGGGAGCCCGCAATCACCACCCGAGAGCCCGCACAGCCCACCAGAGATCCCGTGCAAATATTAGTATTGGTACATCCCTACATTTTACTGTTGGGGGGTCACCACAACTTGGCAAATGTTACCAAGGGGTCCCTGCCCTAGAAAGGTTGATGACCACTGCCCTAGAGCCTGACACAGGATTTTGGTAAGGAACAGCAGGGCCGTTCTGCTCTTTGCGTATCAGCGGGCCGGTGGTGCCCTTTACACAGCTACTGTAACTTGACTCTAAATGGACAACGCCAATTGAAATTAGATTGAGACCAAGACCATTCATTTCAACAATCTTCCCACAAGATTCATAGGGGAGAATTTTATCAAAATTGGAGCAGACAAAATCTGGGAGCAGTTCCCCATGGCAACCAATCAGCTTCTCTCTTCAGTGTGTTCGGTTAAGCTTTGAAGATGAAAGAGAGAAGCTGATTGGTTGCCTTGCACAGCCGCTCCAGATTTCGATAAATTCCCCTCTATGGGTATTCACCTTATTTTATTCATGTTATTTACTTGTAAAAACCTTCCTTTTGTAGACATCCAAAAGCCCCGAGACCTGTGCTGGGTGCCGCCATCTTTTAATGTGATGTCACCAGACTCGGAGCTGTCACTGATTCCCATTTGCTCCTCCCCCTGCACTATTCTATTTTGCCATGCTGCCTGTGTTAGGGTGACGTCCTCATGTTCTCTTCCCCTATGGTTATGTTCTGTGGCTTTCGTGAAGCACTCTACCTGTATCATTTGATTTCATTCGGATCCCTAGATTTGGCTCTAGATGCACGGCTCACAATCTCTCCCATTGTAAACAGCCAATTGCCTAAGTGTTCCGATATATGCAATATTCTATACCAATAAAAGGCGGAAAACACCAGATAAATATTGCTCAGCAACTTGGTCTGTAACATGTATTGATACGTTATTCTATGTATGAATTGGTAATATTGGGGGGGCGGGGTCAGTATTATATGGCGTGTGGAAGAGTGAGAAACCTCTCACCAATGTCTCCATTGTAAAGATTTTCCTTGTTAACATCTTGGTGACACCTGTCAGCAGGCAAGGAAGTGAGGGAAAATCTCCCCCATGGGGACACTGCAGTAATCTGACAGGTGATCAACTTTCTTGATAAAAGGGTGTCTAACGTGCTGTCCCCTGCCATCACCATAGGGGCACATGTAAGAGTCAGTAAATGGAGGTGGTCGGAGACGGCAGACGTGCTATAGGCGTTGGAGACTGGGGGTGTTTTTTAGGGGACCGTCATAGACTAGAGAGACAACATACCTGCCCCACCACCATTCCTCACTTCCTACAAGGACTGTCTGGTCTCCGGAACACTTGAACGAAGCTCATGTTGGGAATCAGGGAAATCTTTTTCTCAATTTTTTTTTATTTTGAAGCAGGAATGCTTTATCTCTCTCCTGCAACCAATTTCATCACATGGAGTAGAATGATGAAGGGAGACTCTGTTTCTATGGGCAACGTTCTCCTCCCATCAATAATGTGGTCCAGGATTTGTGTTCTTTATCTTCGGAGGCAGATCTGTGCAAAGTCGCAGAACCTTCATTTGTTAGTCAAACTTTAAAGCAGCAGAAGCTTTGCATTCTCTTCTCCAGTTATCAATTGATCAGGAAGTGACTAAAGCAATGTAAATGGGTCCCTTCCATCTGTCTACCTGGATATCGGTAGATGTAATTGTTGTTTTTAGCAGAAAAGACTGCATGCCTATTTTGGTAATGCAGCCCCCCCCCCGAAATGTTTTACTATTGTAAATTATCTGCAGTGCAAACGATCTGTCTGTAAGATGCCAAGAATAGAGCTGGGTTCAGGTATGATGCAACTCCTGCGCAACAGTTGCATCATCAGTGGCTACCCAACAGCTAAAGAAGAGCAACAAGAGCCCAGGAGAAGGTAGCAATGAGGAACAGCATTCATCTGTCAGCACTGGAGGGGGCGGGGCAAACAGACGGGTGAGTCTGCCACAATGATGTGTATCCTAGAGGCATAGATGTGGCCTACTAGGGATGCACCGATACTAGGATCTGTGCCGATGCCGAGCATTTGGGTACTCTTACTCGCCCAAAAGCTCCGATGCCTAGCCCGATACTTCTGATATCAGGAAGCCAGGCAACGAGTCATTATATAGTGAAGCAAGTAAGTTGCGCTCGGTCTAATGTGTCTAACGAGTCATTAGCCTATCGATTCTAGATCTTTCCTTGACCCAGTGATGTCACATCCTTCCCAGCAGGTGAACAATGGAATCCATACCAAAGGCGGCGTTCTGTTATATGCCACGAAAGAAACTTGCAGCGTAAGAACATTGGACTTATAGATGCTTTATTATGTACATTACATACAGAGGCTGGAATTCATATAAAGTGCTGATTTCACATTACATATATACAGCTCGGAAAGACAGAGGAATATCATGTGACACGCATGACCCATGACATAAAGTACACGCAAAGCCTCTTTTACAGACATTGTTGTGGTTTTCCTTTCACACATTTCGCAGTTTCCATACAACAGAAGTTGTCATTAATGGACTTGTTTTTTTTCTGAAAATGCTGGTTGCCTGGCGGATGCTTTCTGTGTCGCTGACCCAGGGCTGTCCCTACACTATTTGCCGCCTGGGGCAGGGGAATGGCAGTGTTACGAGTGTATGGTCGTTTTGGGGTGCAATCACTGAATTGTAAACCGTGCCGTCAGCAGCTTTCTCCGGCGTGCTGCCCGGCTCACCGACGTCACTGGTTGACAAGAGCTCAGCCGGACGCCAGCCAGAGTGTCCCGCTCGGCTCCTGGCAACCAGTGACATCAGCGAGCTGAACAGGAGGGTCACAGTTTGCTAAGAGCTGGGACTCCATGGCTGCCCCACAATGAGACGCCGCCTGAGGCGGCCAGCTTATTATAGGGACGGCCCTGCGCTAACCTGTAACATACTAACTGGGAGCCTGTTGCATGCTGGTTCTGGGTCAGTGTCTCTCAGCATTAAATCTGCTGGATCATCATGACGGTCAGCAATTTCACAAGCAGAGCCAGTGCAACCTATTTTGGTAGGGATTCCCTCTGAAGGTAAACGAGCTGAAAGGCACACGGCTGAAAACACAAAGCCAAATATAAAAGAAATCTAGATTTGTATTTCTGCCAGACACCACAAGCAGGTTGGTGACCTCAGGTTTTGTGCGCTGCAGATAAAGCTAAAGTTTAATTCGATTATATTTTGCCTTGCCTGGTTCTTCCCTCCCCCGTTCATTAACATGATGATCAATTTTTTAAAATAAAACCTTCCCATTTTTATTACATTCCTTATTTTAAACCCAGTGACGTCATTGCTGGGCCTCTGTGCTGCTCTATGCAATGCAGGCAGCTTATGGCTGGTGGGAGGGGCCGGCAGTACTCCTCTCAAGAGCCCTCAGTCCTGATGCAAGCAGCGGGCTGGCTCTTGGGAGGAGTTATGCAAATATAATGCCTTGATGGATGTATAACAGTTTGGAGTAGTGGACGTTCTGCATGCAGATCCCCCTAGGTAACGTCCACATGTGATGCTGAGCTTCCATGATCGAAAGAGCTAAAAATCCAATGAATGAAAGGGGCGGGGCCAGGGACAGTCCGTGACGAAGGAAAGGTCATGTGGCTGGGCTCTCCTCCCAGCTTCTTTAAAAAAGCGGTACGGTCTGGGTCTTGGCATTCAGAAAATATATAATGTTGGGGGGTTTTACGTCATTTTCAGGCCTAAAATGTGGAATATAACATGGGTGCAAAAATGGAAAAAAGGGCCTCAGTCATGAAGGGGTTAAAGGACATACCCGAAATCAGGGGTGGGAAACTCCGGCCCTCCAGCTGTGGTGAAACTACCCATGAGGCATTGCAAGACTGCTGGGATTTGTAGTTGAAGCACAGCTGGAGGGCCGGAGTTGCTCACCTCTGCTCTAAATGAAACCCGTATGAGCCACCAAACCATGCAGCATGGACTATCTAGTAATTGGATGAACTTTAAAAGGTAATACTAAAGTCCCTATCACACCCCCTGAGCAAACAGGCAGACCTCCCGTGTCCTGTCCGATCAGGGGAGAGGTGCCATGTACTGCCGGAGATCACACGTGCCGCTCCATAATGTGAACGCTTGGTCACACCGATTCACTAAGCAGAGCTGCACTAAATACTCACGTTTAGCTGCAGATTAGCCGAGCGACAGAAATAAGACAACAGAAAATGTTTTGATATTAAAGCAGCAGTGTGCGCCTTCCTCCCGTTTCCAGATCACAAGACGGCGCCTTCATTGAACGGTCCCGCGGTCCGAATGTGAAGGCAGCTCAGCATGTCCTCCAAGTTATCTTGACAACGCTCGATCGCTCTCCTCCGAGTGCCGAGGAGGGCTGGACATGTTTTCACGGAACTCATTGACAAAATTGTATTGCTGGCAGAAAATGGGTTAAACGTGATCAATAACTGGGAACATTAAGGCCTCATTCGCACTAGAAAGGGCCGGCACGTACAGCTCCGTGCTGTGTGCGCGGCCGTATCGGGCAGCTCCCGGGAAGGACTGAGGGACAGGTGCTGCGTACTAATCACACGCAGCACCTGTCCTTCCCGGGAGCTGCCCGATGCGGCCGTGCACACAGCGCGGAGCTGTACTTGCCGGCCGTTTCTATTTTGAATGAGGCCTTAGTGTTACAACACACCATGCAAATGACAGCCAACACCTCAATGAAAAAGACTGTCTGGAGTACCTGGTATATGAAACATCCAACAAATCCCAAAACATTTTTGGGATTTGTTAAACATTTCATTTTGAGGAAACAAGGGAGAAATAATTTGATTTAAACCGTTGCCGTCTCTAGGAGGAGACGACCAATAGCGTGCAACCCTAGCGTTGCAAAGGCTGGGTGGTGCCAAGCAGGGCCATACAGTGAAGATTACTGGAACGGGAAGGAATGCATTTTACCCCGCGGGCTGCACTGAGGGGGGAGGGGGGGTAGGAGGATTAATTACTAAAAAGACGCAGTTGCCCTTTAAAACCCTCCAAATCTCTTCAGTCTGCATTGTCCACACAGGTCTCTGTTATGACTTCCTGCCATGAAGACTCCGGGACCAGGCCGCTGATAGAGTATAAGTGTGGGTCTGAGATGGGTTGTGAACTGAACACAGTCATCTTACCTTAATGGTCTGTATAGCACCTGGACCCCTGACAGCTTGAACAAGATCAATGGCTTCCTGAGGCGTGATAGAGTCGCTCATGCGCATTAGTAGACACGCTGCAACTGCAATAAAAGGGAAATCAGCTCATCACTTCAATCATCGGAGAAAACTAAAGAAGATACATTATAGCGCCAAAAGTTTCTGGACCCCTGACCAGCACACTACAGTATAGGAGCTTGTTGACCACCCCATTCCAAAACCATGGGCTCCAATTAGGGATGCGCAGACACTGATACTAGTATCGGTATCGTTGCAGATACTGAGTATTGGGGCGAGTACCTGTACTCGCCCAAATGCTCCGATACCTTCCTCGATACTGGATCTTCCGGTCAGAGGGAAATTTCCTCTGACCGGCAGTGCCGCTAGGGAACATGGAGCCGGCTTCCCGGCCAATCAGGAAGCCGAGTGGCGGATAATGACTCACCGCCCGGCTTCCTGATTGGCCGGCTCCATGATGTTTGGCTGGCTCCATGCTGATTGGCCAGGAAGTGTCAGGGAATGACCTGCCTCTTGATTGGCTGGGAAGCCAGCTACCCGGCCAATCAGCATGGAGCCGGCCAAACAGCCAGCTTCATGCTGACTGGCTGGGAAGCCAGCTTCCTGGCCAATCAGCATGGAGCCGGGCGGCTGTAATGATCTGCCTCTCAGCTTCCCGATTGGCCAAGGAGGCCAGCTTGATGCTGATTGGCTTGGAAGCTGGCTTCCCGGCCAATCAGCATGGAGCCAGCCAAACAGCATGGCGCCTGCTTTCCTGGCATTTAAAAAGCCAAGCGGCAGGTAATGACATCGCTCCTGATTTCCCGGGAAGCCGGCTCCATGCCAGGGGAAGTGCTGGTATCGGCGAGTACCAAAAGATAAATATTGGTACTCGATACCAAAAAACTGGTATCGTGCATCCCTAGCTCTAATATGTAGTTGGCCTCTTTGATTGCTATAACAGCCTCCATTCTTCTAAGATTCCACAAGATTTTGGAGCGTGTCTGGGGGAATTTGAGCCCATTCAGCCAAAACAGCATTTGTGAGGTCAGGTACTGGTGTTGGACGGGAAGATCTGGATCATAATCAGCGTTCCAATTCCTCCAACAGCCTGCAAATACAGCCTGCTCCGCCCACTCCTCCAGACTAACACCTGGCCATCAAGGACATTTGATATTTGCATAACTCCTCCCAAGAGCCAGCCCACTGTTTGCATCAGTACTGAGGGGGTCTTGAGGAGTACTAAAGTAGGGTGCAGTGATGTTATTATGAAGCTATGTACAGCACCCAGCCGGCCCCTCCACAGAGACCCAGTGATGTCACCACCGGGTATAAAATAATGTAATGAAAATGGAAATGTTTTATTTAACCACTTCAAGACCAGGTGTTTAGACCCCCTTCCTGGCCAGGCCATTTTTCAGTATTCAGCGCTTCCAATCCACCATAACAACTGGAAAACAAAGAAAGACATAAACCATTACATAATAAAGTATGCACCTATGACATATCTAGCTCTTGTGGAAAGGTTTCATGTCTATGGTCTATGTGAGCTGTAGTAGGATGCTGAGGAGGGGTTCTATTCGTACAGAACGAATGTTCAGAAAGATTTGTAGGGCAAATGACTCTGCAATTTGGTTATAAATAAAACCCCTTAGTGTTCTGCATTTGAAAGATGGTATACAATTTGGCAAATCCTCCCCGTTTTATATCTTGCATTTCTGCCTAGCAACAGCTGAGATAAAAGGATAAGCCACGTAGAGTCTACAGTATTCGGCAGACTGCTAGGCTTGCACTGACAGGGGGGGGGGGAAATGAGTGAAGCACAATCACTGTGCAGCACTACTAAGCCGGAAGCACAGTCTACATATGTAATCAGCAAGTGAAGGTGAAAGCGGTGTGGTGGGTTTACATTCATTATAGCAGAAAGTACTGCAAGATTAATAAACTGGGCTGAGGGTCTAGAACATGGCCCGAAGACAGACATCATCTATACGTGCTGGGGACATACTGTATTAAAGCCTTCCTGTTGTTGTCCATGCAGGCCCGGAGGTCGTCCAGTATTCGGCGCAATGCGTCACACTGTGGCACGTCCCCGTCGAGGAATGGATGGTGATGGACCACAAAATCCTGCTTGCTGTATTCCTGTAATAACGTGGGCACTCGATATTTCCTGAGCTCCGCCAATGTGCAAAACACAAACACGTCCTGGATCCCCATTGCTCTCATCTCCTCTGCAAAGACAAAACCAACGCAGGAAAGATGAACACGGAACGTATCAGCAGACATTTCATTCAGGGATTAGAACCTCTGTCAGGGTTTTATTCACCCCGAGGGCCTGTTCACACAACGTCCGTTTTCTGTGCTGACCTGATCCGAACGCTCCTGCACTAAAAATGCCTCCCAATGTGTCTCTATGTGTGTTATGGGCTACAGTTCTCAGGTGCGCAGTCCGTTCAGGTTACGACAGAAAAATACTACATGTCACATTTTGTCCGGTCAGGAAACGCAGAACGCACTGCAGCTAACATACTGACAGCCCCACTACAGCAAAAAAAATAAAAAAACATTTTTTTTTTAGGCTGGGTTCACACCTAGGCGTATCGAATATGCGCGATTCCGAGGACTACCTGGCTGTATCCCAATGGAAACACGTGACAAAAACGCCCCAAAAGAAGCTCCTGGACTTTGGGTGTAGGGCGTTTTGTAGCGCGTTCCTACGTCCTGTAATACGCCCAGGTGTGAACCATACCCATAGGAAATAATGGGATTTCGGTGTTTGAGCGTTTTGCAGAGTGTAGAAACGCGCTACAACACGCCCAGGTGTGAACCGGGCCTAATTGGAACGCATCAAAAACGCGGCAAAACACATAGCACCGCGTCTGCAGATCCGCACCTGAAACTCATGTGAACAGGCCCTTAGTGGTGACTGGAACACTGATGAGCTCATCTCTCTGTGCTTTACCCTCCTGTTAGCATGTTCAATGTTAGACTGACAGCACCATGCAATGCAGTGACGTAGGGATCGGAGGATGGAGCGAAAGCGCACAATGTGGAACAAAAGCATGCAACGCCTTTGGAACTGGAAGTGCACTGTTACGGAGGGGAGGTAGGATAGAAGACTGAAGGGAAGGACGGAGGTCAGGTAGAAGACTGAAGGGAAGGACGGAGGTCAGGTAGAGGACTGAAGGGAAGGACGGAGGTCACATATAAGACTGAAGGGGAGGACGGAGGTCACATATAAGACTGAAGGGAAGGACGGAGGTCAGATAGAAGACTGAAGGGGAGGCCGGAGGTCAGATAGAAGACTGAAGGGAAGGACGGAGGTCAGATAGAAGACTGAAGGGAAGGACGGAGGTCAGATAGAAGACTGAAGGGAAGGACGGAGGTCAGATAGAAGACTGAAGGGAAGGACGGAGGTCAGATAGAAGACTGAAGGGAAGGACGGAGGTCAGATATAAGAATGGAGGGGAGGACGGAGGTCAGATAGAAGACTGAAGGGGAGGACGGAGGTCAGATAGAAGACTGAAGGGGAGGACGGAGGTCAGATAGAAGACTGAAGGGGAAGGACGGAGGTCAGATTGAAGACTGAAGGGGAGGACGGAGGTCAGATAGAAGACTGAAGGGAAGGACGGAGGTCAGATAGAAGTGCTGCGTGTAATTGGGCGCAATCACCTGTACATCCCTATGGGAGGATGCGGCTACACATCAGTGAGGCTCCAGGTGTCTGTGAGGGTCCCAGTACTGTGTGTAACCGCGTCCTCCCGTAGGGATGTACAGGTGATTGCGCCCAATTACACGCAGCACCTGTCTCTCCCAGAAGCAGGTCTCTGCACGCTGTGCGCATGTGCACGCCCGTGTGAATGAGCCCTTGAGCTCCCCTTCTGTCTGGAATAATTGACCTTACCTATATTCTGGAACAGGTTACGCCGGATGTTTTTAAACTTGCATCCTAAAAGCAGAAAATAAGAAAATCACTTTAATATATGCGGCTGTGACGTCACATTACTGGCGAGAAACGCGCCAACATCGAAATTACAACTATACTAAGGGGACGCCGCCCACTCGTGTTCTCAGCTTTAGAGAAGCCAAACTTTCCCAAGCAGCCAGAATCCAGCATTCTTCATACAAGAAATAAAATATAGAATCATCAAATTATATATTATTTTAAATAACTTTTTGGGACATATTTACAAAGCAATGAATGTTACATTCACTGCAGGTGTACCCTTCTATACAGTGAATGATTCATCACCGGTGAATACTTAATAAGTATCATAGTCACTGATTTATAAACATACATTATATTGCCAAAAGTATTGGGCCCCTCCAAATCATTGGATTCAGGTGTTCCAATCCCCTCCTTGGCCTTTAAGAACAGATACTACACTTGATCTTAGCCAAAAGGCCGAGAAGCGATAGTGTATATAATGTTCCCTTTGAATGCAATATGGAGGACACGTCTGCATGTGATTCCACATGGATCTGAACCCGCACATCCCTGCACTTGGACACACACTGTCCCATAGGCGCCTGCATGCAAGTACACACAACGCCTGTCCCTCCCGGGAGCGGGTCCCTGCACGGGCAGACACATTATATGGATGCGCACGCCGTGTGAATGAGCTCTTATCTGTGGAGAATTCTGCCGTTTTCAGCAATCGATGACATTCTGGTTCTGATCAAGTATAGAGAGAAAGAAACATACCTGGGAGAGGGCCGATGCCCATCACCGCGGCATAATGGGCGGGCTCCAGGCTCAGCCTGAAAAATAAAAGACATAGGCAGGTTAACATTGGACAGCTGTGCTGTGGAACGGACAGCAAGGATCAGACTACACGTGCAGAAAGGGGACTCCCGCGCCCCCTCCCCCCCCCCCATCATTTCTAGCAGAGACTAAATGTTTCCAAATGTACAGACAGTGCTGGGCTTTGTTATAGGAAAGCAATTTTTAAAATGTTGTCACCCTGGGACAGGAAGTATACTCCTTGCAGGATCACCAGGTGAAAAGTAAAAGGAGAGGAAGCCTGAAAAAATGAAACGACTGCAGCTACCAAATCTGGGGACTGGAAAGCTGCCATATGTGACATTTTAAAAGCCTTTTACCTACCAAGACACTTCAAACCCGGTGAGTTCACTCTCGGCGTGTTCCTCGTCTGAAGAGTCAAATTCATTGGGGCTCATGATGTCCACTGATCCCGTGTTATTCATTCTATAAAAGGTAAGAAAATTTACTGATCACTGCCAGGACATGGCACCAAAAGACAGGTCCTCTTTACTGACCACTACCAGGACATGGCACCAAAAGACAGGTCCTCTTTACTGGCCGCTGCCAGGACATGGCACCAAAAGACAGGTCCTCTTTACTGGCCACTGCCAGGACATGATGCTATAAGACAGGTCCTCTTTACTGGCCGCTGCCAGGACATGGCACCAAAAGACAGGTCCTCTTTACTGGCCACTGCCAGGACATGGCACCAAAAGACAGGTCCTCTTTATTGGCAGCTGCCAGCATTTTCTTGCCGCCCCAGCACTACAAGTCTCAGCACAGCCATACGTTCCCTACTTACCGAGCCCGAAGTTCCTGCAAGCAGCTGTCCGCTCTGTCACGTGATCTAACGAACGGTGGCTAAAGACACTTCCGCCCAAAACGCCGCCATCTTTAATGCGGGCACCTTCTTCCTCTACGCCTCGCCGAACTCCAGGACATGGCACCAAAAGACAGGTCCTCTTTACTGGCCGCTGCCAGGACATGGCACCAAAAGACAGGTCCTCTTTACTGGCCGCTGCCAGGACATGGCACCAAAAGACAGGTCCTCTTTACTGGCCGCTGCCAGGACATGGCACCAAAAGACAGGTCCTCTTTACTGGCCACTGCCAGGACATGATGCTATAAGACAGGTCCTCTTTATTGGCAGCTGCCAGCATTTTCTTGCCGCCCCAGCACTACAAGTCTCAGCACAGCCATACGTTCCCTACTTACCGAGCCCGAAGTTCCTGCAAGCAGCTGTCCGCTCTGTCACGTGATCTAACGAACGGTGGCTAAAGACACTTCCGCCCAAAACGCCGCCATCTTTAATGCGGGCACCTTCTTCCTCTACGCCTCGCCGAACACCGGTGTCATGTGTTACATCGGATTTCTGTTCGCCGCAGAAAAGCCTCTGACGCAAATAGCACGGCGGGCGGACGGTAACACCAGCGGTTAGGAATTTTAGGGCTGAATCCTCTGACGCCAGGACTAAAAATGGCCGACTAAGCTGCGGATTTGCGTAATCACGTAACGTCGTGACATAAACAGGGCCGATTTTGAATGAGTAAGCGAATGGAAAGACGGCCACATGCGAAGAGGGTAAAGTGGGCACTAATGAATGAAAATGGGCTCTAATTTCCCTTCCTGTCCTATGGACTCATCAGGAAGTGATTGGAAATCTCCTCTTAGTGTTCACGTTAGATCGCTGAGTTTTAGTGATCGGTCTGTTTTCTGGGTGAGGTCCGGTGTGACGCGATCTTTCAATGCATCACATTGTTTACTTTATTTATTGTTTAACTTTATTGAGAGTGTACAAAGTGTACACACCATTTAAAGTCTCTGCACAGCGCTGTGTTCTGTGCTGCGGTGACCTCTAGGTGTCATTCAATGCATTGTCGTGGGAACGGGCACATATAGGGTTGCCATCTGTCCGGGATTCACCCGAACAGTCCGGTTTTTGAGTCTTGTGTCCAAGTTTCCAGCCAGTTGACACCCAGACACAAGACCCTAAGTGACGATACCGGGACTTTACATTTTTTGACAGATGCGTCTGCCCAGGTCCCCAGCAAGTGCGGGACTTCATGCAGCTGCATCTGCCTCTTCCTGTGAGCTACGGGTGTCTTTCTGAAAGCACACTGCCTGCCTCTGGACCCCACCTGAGACCCCGCACAGCCCACCTGAGACCCCGCACAGCCCACCTGGGACCCCATACATCCCACCTGAGACCCCACCTCACCTAAGACCCCCACATAGCCTACCTGAGAGCCCGCACAGCACTCGAGTCTGAATAGCCAACCTGAGAGTCTGCATAGCCCGCATGAGACCCCACCTCACCTAAGACCCCGCATAACCTGTCTGAAAGCACGCATAGCCCACCTGACAGTGTGCAAAGCCTACCTGAGAGCCCACACAGCCCACTTGAGAGCTTGGAGACATCTGGGAGCTGCCCCAGAACAACACGGAGTATGTAGTTTTAATTATATTTTGTATTGCTGCATACTGTATTGCTGGGATTTGTAGTCCTCTATAGCCGGTCTCCTTACTCCCTCCCCTGGCTGCCTCTCCTCGCTCTCTCCTCCTATATTTGCCCCCAAAAAAGCCACGCGCAGCGCTAGAGTGTTCGGGATTCACTTAACAAAAGGTGGCAACTCTAAGCACATAGAAAACAATTGTATTTAGGTTCCCTGACACTGATCAGTTGCTGAAAAACACCAGTCACAGCTAATGGTGCGAATTAAACTTTTATTTATCTTTTTTTTAACTTTATCACCTTTTTTTTATTTTACTTTTTTTTTTTCTTAATTTGTATTTCTTTTATAATTTTTTTTCACTTAACTTTATTGCTATCACACAGGAGCTAACACGCCCCTGTGTGATAGCATTTGGAGGTGACAGGTTTCTTGAACCTGTCACCTCCAATGCAGGCATTCTAGTACAGAACTGTGCTTGCTCTCCTGTGACAACTGAGAGGGGAGGGATGTGAGTGCAGCAGGACAAGGACCGCCGAAGCTTGTAGTGCGCTCACACAGGATACAGGACAGCCATATCATCATTCTATGACAGTCCTGGTGTCCTGTGTGTGAGGGCACTACAAGTGTCAGCAGTCCCTGTCCATTAGATGACAGTCCTGGTGTCCTGTGTGTGAGGGCACTACAAGTGTCAGCAGTCCCTGTCCATTAGATGACAGTCCTGGTGTCCTATGTGTGAGGGCACTACAAGTGTCAGCAGTCCCTGTCCATTAGATGACAGTCCTGTGCGCATTATTTGTTTTCCCCTAACCGTACACTAAGCCGCACAATCTCCGCTCATTGTACGATTCCGGCACCTGCTGCTGGGTGAATGAACTCATGTGTGCCGTAGTTATAGCGTCCCAAGCTGGCCAACCAAGAGAGCTAAAGACGGTGAACCCGGAAGAAGACCAAACAAAGATATCGGCAACGGAGTGATAGAAGAACACAGCCACAGCTGCTGGTGATCTGCAGTCTCATCTGCCCTCTGCAGCGTTGTCACTGTTTGTGTGCATGCACCAGATCGGACTAAAAAAAATGTCCAGGGCAGGGGTGGGCAACTCCGGCACTTCATCTGTTGAGGAACTACAAGTCCCGTGAGGCATTGCAAGACTCTGACAGCCACAGGCATGACTCCCGGAGGCTAGGAGTGCCAAGGTTTGACTAGCCCTAGTAGTCTATGGCTTCCCCCCTTTCTCCCAGCGTGCTGTGTCACCAGCAACTGATGGGGCAGATCACAGTTATGATTGACAGAAGCTCCGCAGCCTCACTGCCATTGCACTATGCATGCCCCGAAGAACCCACCCACCAAAGAAGAGCAGGAAGGTCACATGACCCCGGCAAAAAGCAGAAAATAAAGGTATCTTGAAACCGCACGTTAATTCTTTTTTTTTTTGGCAGGAAATTCCCTTTATTCATGAACTCCTGATGGTTACAGAAGCTCCTCCCCATCTATACTGGATCTCTCATTGTGCCAAAAATGGCTCCACGTTATCTTTATTAATTTTTTTACAGAAAGAAACAGACAAAAAAAAGGAAATAAATAAAAAACAAACAAAAACATGACTGAGATAAACTAGGGCTGTGGAAATTTAAAGATTAATTTCTCAATTAATCATTAAACTTTATGATCGATTAAAATTATGTTGATCGCTAATGAAAACACTCACCTCTCCGCCGGCTTCCGGGAGTCCCGTCGGCGATCCGGTGACGTCATGGACATCGACGTCACCGGACTCCTTCCCCAAGTGGCTCCGTCGGCTAACGAAGGGAAGGGGGGAGGAGACCGGTGACGTTGATGTCCGTGACGGCTAGGGAAGGGGGAGGAGTCCGGTGACGTTGATGTCCGTGACGGCTAGGGAAGGGGGAGGAGTCCGGTGACGTTGATGCCCGTGACGTCACCGGACCCCTCCCCCCTTCGTTAGGCGACGGAGCCACTTGGGCCGGTGAGTTTGCCCAAGAAACTTGTTCTGCACGAGCGCCAGCCAAGCCATTGGCCTATACACATACAGCACAGCAATGAAGTCATACAATGAACTAGGATCACACTGATCCAGCACGTTATTATTCTGAGTTGTCCCACTCAAGCGGCGGCCATATTGAGTGGGGCACGTGAGATTAATAACGTGCCGGATTAGAGTGATCCTAGTTCATTGTATTACTTCATTGCTGTATGTGTATAGGCCAATGTAGCTGGATCTGTATGTGCGTTATAATTAATCAAAATGTAATCGATTAAAAAAAATTTCGATTAATCGAACAGGAACATTTTAATCATTACCAGCCCTAGGATAAACAAATAATCCCGAATAAACCCTCTAAAAGAAAACACACGCACCCTCCAGCCCCATGACAATCCAAATATTTGTCGTGCTGCTCTGCCGTGCGGTGCCATGTTGCCTTACTAGCTTCATTCATACAAGCTGGTGAGCGTCCAGCTATCTCAGAACTCTAGTACACCTCCCCCCCTATGTTATATAAATGAGAAGAGGGGAAGGTGTTGCGCAGTCATGTCCTATGACGACAATGCTGCTCCTCCATATAGCACACTGAAATTCCTATATGTGTCAGCATCATCTAGGGGTGCTCCCGCCGTGCGAGTGACATCCGTCCTGCTATACGAAGGGCAGAAGTTTTATACAGGGCTGCGACCAACTAATCCATAATAAAAATAGTGACATGAGGGTAGTAATTTCAGGTACAACCTGGCTTCAAATGTACACGATAAACATAAACACTGCAGTCAGTTCAAAGCACCAATAGGCGCTAGTTGTAATAATGATAATTGAACACTAGGTGGCGCTCCAGCTGTTCTTTTGAATTGCAGATAGAATATTCAGCCCATGAGTGTGCGCACACCGGGTGCAGCTGTAACTGGAAAATACATTCAGCAGGTGGCATGTGCACTGCAAAAAAAAGTTATTGCCAATACCTCTGAAACATATAGGCA